ATTTTAATTTCTTTCGCTACAATATATTCAGAAAATTGAACAAAAAGTGTGTACTAGTTCTTTCCCAGACAAATCCACACATTTCAAAATATCCAGCCCATTACAATCCAATTCAGAGGAGAGCTCAGCCCATTAGAAATGCTTTTCTTGTCCCTGGACCATTTCCCCTCTTTCCCCCGGAATCCCTAGCTGCTGCTGCCGCCGTCGCCGCCGCCGCCATTCGATCTACCAACTCTGCTTCTTCTTGGTGCTGTTCCTCTGTAGATCTATCCGGTAACTAAATCCTCTTCTCTTTCCTTACCGCGGCGATTGTCTACTTTTCAAGTTTCCATTGCGCCGGTCGCTCGCTTGCTAAAAAGTTGCGTCTTTTTGTACGGCGGCATTGGGGTTTGCAGCTAGCTGAGGCCTGAGGCGATGGCGGCCGCGCCCGGCGATGAGGTTCCGACGCCTTTCGCGGCCCCTGTTCCTCCGGCCACGGCTGTTGCTGGCTGGTCCTCGCTACCGACCGACCTCGTGCGCCGCATCGCCGACTGCCTCCTCGACACCAACGACGTCGACTGCTATGTGGACCTCCGCGCCGTCTGCCACAACTGGCGCTCCGCCACCGACGACCCGAGGAGCGACGTCTCCGACCCCCGCTTCCACCCGCGCTTCTGGATAGTCCTCGACGACGACGGGGCCTTCCAGAGCGACGACAGCCGGGTCTTGGTGAACACCGCCACCGGCCGCTTCCTCCGCAAGAAGCTCCCGCTGCCCCGCCACTACTACGTGGTCACCACCACTGTCAGCGGCTTCTTCGTCCTGGCCGACAGGAGCCCGCCTCACGCTGCTCGCGTCCTCAACCCTCTCATAGGCGCCGTGGTCCGTTTCAAGGCGCCCCTGCCCCGGGACGCGTCCGTCGCCGTTTTCCTCTTCTGTGGCGGCACCTCGCACAATCTCACCGTGCTCTGTGACTCAACTCGCAAGTATTACACAGCAGTTCCTGAGAGCAAACGTTTCGCCCCCGTGACCACCAACGATGTTATGTACAATTACATGAGGAAGGCGGTGGTCGGCGGCGTGTACGCCAATGGCGGCGGCTGGGCATCGGTGGCGCAGTCTAATGTCATCATGGAGAAATTGTTCAATTTGTCAGAGCAGCTTAAGGTCCATTTCGTCAAGTTTTTCTCTGTCGACCCTCTTGGTCATCGCGGCGATGTCAGGTGTTTCCTACTGGATTTTGGTGGAGAAGTCTTTTTCATCACAAAGGCATGGGGACGCGTTATGGTTCTCGGCATCGAACCAACGGAGAAACAGATGCTCGCGCCTGTGGAGACCGTGGGCAGGTATGCCATCTTCGTCGGCCATCAAAGGTGCCTGGTTGTTGATGCCGCCAAGTTCCCATCCGTTGAGGCAGACTGCGTCTACTACACTCTAGACGTTGGTAAATTTGCTTTCATCTGGAAGCACAGCATCAGTGATGGGAAAGATGAGAGGGTGTTTGACGCCATCGATTTCGTCAAGGAGAACAAGCGGTTTGTCCCTGTCGGTGCCCGTCCTTTCACCATCATCCAGCTTCTCTCGAGCTACACCATCAACCTCAGTGATTCTGAACTGGCCTCAAAACAAAGCTCGTAAGGTGCCAACAAATCTTGCTCTGTCTTTTGGGATAGTGATTCCAATGACCGGCAATGCTATGTCTTTTGTTTTGCCTTGACTTGTTCCGGGTAAAATCAGGTTGACTCTAGGAGTCTAGCTTAGAAGGAACTACTGTAAGCTGCTTAATTAGGAGGACATGCTATCAGCCTTTTGCTACATCTATTATGATTGATGCTATCTATTGTACTTCTTAGCCATGCAATCTTGTTATTTGTTTTTTGCTGCTGAAAATTTGGCTCAATTTTAGCCCATTTCTGAATTCTTGTTCCCGCGAAGAAACCTGTTTTAGAACTGCCCACTTGTGATCTGTGGTACTGCAGGTAGGGCTTAGAACACTGTAATCTTTCATGATTAGTGTATGCTTCATGCCTTCATCCCTTTATACTATTTGCTTTTGTGACACAATGGATGCTGAGAATTTAAGATGTGCTTGGCAACTCACCATTGCTACTAAGAGCTTAAGATTTAAGACGTGCTTTGGATTTATGAAAAGATATCAGACACAATATTTAGTTGCTGTTTCTAAGACGGGGTTTGTAGATTCAGATGTCCTGTTCTTAATTTATCAGGTGTTGATGAGAATACAACAGCAGGCACAGAACACTAGTTTGATACTTTGGAACCTTGACTAATGGGTTAAATTCTTCATCTCCACAACTGATATGCATCAGGTCTCTGAAAAAAATGATTGTGTAGCTGCTGTAATTTAGCTTGTTGGAATGGATCTGCATGGGCCTGAAGGTCCTGGAGGGTGGGGTCTGGGCGCACCTGGCGGGCCCAGGTTTGTGTGCTTCTGGGTCTAGATGAATTTAATCCCCAGGTAACTAATGGATCTTTTGAACTCCTGGATTTGCTAGTGAATTCCAAGCAGTGAAGCATATTCTAGTCATTTTAGTTTCCTACTACCTCAGAAGCTCTCTTCTGAGGCTGAAACTCTGAAATATGTTTCATCTTCAGCTTCTACCTCCTCTGCTGTTGCCTTCTCCAAGATCATTGTGGCCCAGAACTTATCATCACCAAACTTAGCACTACATATGTTCTTCTACAGCTTTCTCAATTGTGAACAATGAAACTTTCTGCTTCCCTACTTTATTCTCATTTCCACTCTTGTTAACATCATGGGAAACTTGCTATGTGTAGGTAACTTAGATTCTTAAGTCTCCATGGTAAGAACAAAATCTTTGTCGTGTTTTAGCAGAAACAAAACCTTTGTAGTTACCATTCACAAAACTGACAGTGCAATTCACTATGTATTTCGGTTCTTTAAAATAATAATTGAGCACACTCCTTTCTTTTTTATCTTTAATAGTTACTTTGTTAAGAAAGCAATGTTCATTATCCCTGTTGCTATTCCTCGTGCAATGGTGGAGTCCGCAACATTAGGAGCGATGCCTCTCCTCCCTGGCCTGACAGATGAGATCGTCATTCGGAGATCCTCGCCTGCCTGCACCCTATAAATCACTAAATAGGTGCATAACATACCACATGAGTGACTGATTAACTATCCACATAATCTTTACAGGATAAAGCTTCTGAAACATAAATGAGCATGCCAAAAATATTAAGTTGGGTGACAATTTAGCTACAGTATAGACATTCTACTGCAAGTGTTATATAATAAACCAGAAATGTTGTATATATATTAATTCTCTGTGATATTCAGCCTACCGGTCATACTAGAAGAAATAGAGTATGTGTCTGAGTTCTTAAGATTAAGACCCATGGACGAAAGAAAACGGCTGCAACATCAGTTGCTCTGATTTAACTACATACAGCTGGGAAATAAGTTAACTGTTATAATGGAAAATAAATAGTATTACTCACTCGTCAGCGAATTTGGTGCTCACTTCACTGTTGTAGTTATCATCCTTTCCCACCCAAGAGGGCTTGAGCAATGCCTGGCTTATCAATTGCAAGAGCTTTTCATTAACTTGAGATATATCACATGGATCATAGCATGTAACTTCAAGACTCCACCCATGGGCATGTTCACAAATAAAGTAAGTTTTCTAATTTTGTCATGAATTTTTTTTCGTATTTAAATTTGGTAGGAATGAGCCTCCATTTCGGCAAATTACCACATTGCACAACATATGTGTCAATGGATTGACAAATATGTTGTGCAATGTGGTAAAATAGAGACTTACTCCAACCAAATTAAATATGAAGAAATTCGAGTGGAAATAGGGAAAGTTACTTTGTGAATATGTCTACGGTTGGTAGCCTAGAGTTACATGTGATGATTTGGCAGATATATCTCGAGGTGATGGCAAGTTCTGGGCCATTGATAAACCAGGCATTTCTCGGACCCCTCCTTGGTGGAAAAGGAAGATAACTACAAGGAGTGAAGGGAGCACCAAATTCGCTGATGTGTGAATAATAGTTTTCTTTCCTAGTACTGTAGTTAACTTGTTTCCCAACTTTATGTAGTTGTTCCTAAGCAACGAATTGTGCTATGTTTTGTTATAACCGTCAGTCATAACTCTTGAGAACTCAGGTGGTGTTTGGTTCTCTAGTGCTAGGACTTTTTGAAAAAGACTCTTAAGGAGGTGCTTCTAAAGACTTTTAGCAAGAAGT